ATATTTTTTACTTAGAAAGTATATTGCTAAAATTAATTGTTAAAATTTTATTATAAAAATTAATTTTTAAAAAAAAGTTGCAGACAAATTTGTATGCAATACAATTTAAGAGATAGGTATGCATAAACTCTTTTTTTCTGGATATAAGAGGAAAAAGTGTAATTAATTTCAAATTGAAAAAAATAGTAGATTAATCTATAATCACATTTTATTTATTGATAAGATTATTTTTATATCTATCATGACAACTGTCCAAAAAACTAGAAAACCCAAAACTAATAGCTTTACCTCATTTTGGATCAAATCCTTAATAAATATTACCTATCAGCTAAATTAAACCCACTTCAATTACATGCTCATACTGATGAGCTTAGTACTATGCTACCAGATTAGAAGGTTCGTAAAGATGTGAAAAAGGCTCTCCATCAGTGCTTATTCAAAAAAAATCAAATAGGAGCTCTGGTTCTAAACAATAAAAAGAAAAGGCTTACTATCAAGAAAAGAGCTCAATATTGTGCAAAAACTAAAGATATATGGGATATTTGGTTATATGCTTTAGACTTAGCTGTGCCAAAAAATAATACAGATAAAGCAATTGTGGCAGCCAGTTCTCATGTTTTACAATTTTGTAGAGAGTTAGCAGAAGCTAAAGTTGGTTTTAAGCAAATTTATATATATGCCAAATTACTAGAAGTTACTTAAGCTTCTAAAGAAATTCAAAAGAGGCAACTTGAATAGTGATTACCTAATTTACCTAAAACTTCTAAACACTTTTTCTTAGAAAAAGGACTTAGAAGAATTTAAAATATCAATACTACTAAAATTTCTACTATGCAAGATCTTGCAGATGTAATTATGATGTTGAGTATGAGATCTGCTAAAGTTGCCACTCTTCATATTATTTATTATGAACTTAGTGAATTGAATCCTCCTAAATGATACAAGCCTGGTTATTCTTGTTATTGTATCAGGTATATTAAAAATAAAGAAAAAGCAAAAAATAATCTCAAACTTTGGCAATTACTATCTATGGAAAAGAATCCAGAATGTGCAAAAGAATTGCTTATCTGAATCCAAGATGCAATAGCAACTAGAAAGTTATACAATCCTGTCTATAGTATTAATAGAAAATGCAGTACAGGAGTATTTAGTAAAATTTTAAAATTATATAGTATTACAGCCAAAAATTAAGAAAAATTAGAGATAAACATGCTTCTAGAGTTCATAGTAATCAAAATCCAACTTCACAACATCTTGAATTCCTTAGCAGAGTTGCAATGAGGTATAAGATGGAACATTATAATTCTGAAATATATTATACTGAGGATGATACTTCCGATTCTAACCTTGACACAGATTCAGAACCTAAACCTGAAGCTCTAGCTCCTACACCCAAGGCAATTAATAAGAACAAGTGATCATCTGATATATTTATATTTTAAAACTACTAAATCTATATAATTATTTTCACTATATAAGTATCGAATTATATCTCATTGGGTAATCGGTCCTCTGCTTTCAACCCACATCTGGCATGTGATAAATCTGTAAAGAAGTAGTAATTATAATTAGCAATTTTTAATAATGTAACATAATAAAAAAGATTAACACAAATGTACTAGTCTATATTAAATAATTACTTATCTATTATAAGCAAGGCCTCACCTTAACATCAAAAAAAAAAAATAATTACTTATCTATATTTCACTGCCTCTTATTATAAGATCTTTCTGGTATCTCGGTTTGACTTTTTTTCAGTTGGGAGAGTATAATTCAGTTATTTAAATCTCATGCATTATTGAAATCTTGCTAAAGAATTATAGAAATAACCATCCTACATGCATCTCTTTTGATACCTGCCTCTAGATCTTCGTATATTGACAAAAAATCACACAAATGCTAGAAGAACATACTATAGATAAAATAAATGATACTATATTAGATTTGTGTAATTAATATATAATGATAAATCAAATTTTTTGTGTCATATCAGACAAGGTTCAACATATGAACAAATCTTAGTCCGAAGCTATGATCTATTAAATCACATGCAGTAATGATATTATTCATATCTTGAATGAATTGATCGATCGTTATAAAATAATACCCGAACTTATCATGTTTTTGCTTAAATTTTCTAGCATATTCTTAGTAGTATATATATAATAAACTATTTGGGTCATGATTTGGAAAATGACCTAACAGCTAGCTTTGCAATACTTGGCCTATATATTGAAGTTGCTATAGAAGTTTTTATATTATAAAGAATGATATATTAGTCTTGCTACTTCTACTAATAAAATAGGATAAATTTGTCAATGATCAATTATACATGACTTTACTGTTAAATATACTTGAAGTGGTAAAATTATATCTGATGTCTAACCAAAAATTGAGTAGCATTACAAAAGTCAAATTCTAAATAAGATCGTATATTACTCTAATGTTATTTCAAAAGTCAGTTATTAATTGTATATGATAGTTATTATTGTAATTGTAAATATTCATCAAATATACTAGTTTTAATAAATATTACTTATCTTACTCAGCATTACCCAGATCATGTATTGTTAAGTCTCTAAATCCAGGTCTTCATTCTTAAAATTGAAATTTATGACATGTTTTTGATAATAAATCAATAATAATATGATAATAACATAATTAATATTTTTTTTCTAGTATGTTTTGGGCTTTACTAACAGAGGCAACGAATCAGAATCTAAGTCATGAAATCTTGTATAAAAAGGATCCAAAAATCTTTAGTTATTCCTTCTATGCTCTTATTAGTAATATTTGTAAAAATAAACTATTTAATAAGCTTTTGCATATTATATCTAAAATAATAATATTTTTTAGCATAGTAATCTCACTAAAAGCAACAAAATAAACTCTACTAGTTTCATCTGTTTTATATGAATTAAGGTTGATTTTAAGTTGCATATTTGCTAAGTTATTATCTATGCTCATATATCTATACTAATAATCTTTTTTCCCATTATAGATATGTTTTTAATTAATGTTTCAGAAGTTGTCCTATTTTTGGTCTTTGTGTGCCTATTGATGTTCGCTAAGAAAATTCCTGTTCATTTGATTTCCATTGCTACATGCTTCACTATATATATCATCAAACAACAACTTACTGTGGAATTTAATGCACATGTAGAAAGATTAACTATAGATCTTACAATACAGGATACCATATTTGTTGCCGAGTGACAAAGAATTCTGACAATAGTAAATACTATAATTGAAATCGTTAATGAAATTACCACTAATTATGAATCTCTTCATGACTAGTTGGACAAATAACTGAAACAGGTTCTGTGGCATCATTAATATCTGAACAATTTGCTGACCTATCTGTATTTACATCCAATTTTCTCAAAGATCTTTTGGTTTTTCTCTAGGTTCTTTTAGTAGCTTAAGTCAATTATTTTTTTCTGATATTACCTTAACAACCAGAAACCACTTTAAAATTCTTTTTGATAAGATTATGACAGACAATAATTATTTTTTAGACAATATGTGTAATATGGTGTCTGTTGAGATTTATAGTCTTGAGATGGGAAAAATTGGTAAGAAAACTAAAAAATTTTTATTATAATAATAGAGATTTTAGAGATAGTACTTTAAATAAAATAGGTGCTTGGATAGATAGTAAAAATAATTTTAACTTAGCAGATAATATAGAGTAGTGAAAAGGAACTCCTATTTTATGGGTTAGGGCTTGAGTGATTCCTCTCTTTAAATGTCTACTACTCTTAAGTTTTTTACTTAGCTTGCCCTAGCCTATTTTCATTCTTATAATAAAGTTATATTCTATTATTACTTAATTTTTAAATGTGTTTCGTAAATTTGAAGTGAAACTTCATTGCTATACAATTAAAATTAAAAGTTATTATGATCTTTCAGTTTGAGGTCTGTATAGTACATATCATCAATACTACCTTACGGCTTATGCATAATTTATATAATTTATTTAAGACACATATTGTACAACCTCTATAAGGTACATGTATAATTTGTTTGTAAATTGATCATAAACATAACTGCTATACATTACAGGTTTATATAATAAAAAATTTTTTAGTTATATATATATTATTTTTTTTGTAATATATAATAATGAAAAATTCAAATAATAATAATGCATTAACAAATAAAAAAAGACACAATTATATTAAAAAGTGGCATATCTTCAGAGGTTGGAAGCATGTGTATAAGATTTGTGATGAATGCAATCACCATTCACACCTATATTGCAAAACATGCAAAAAGTAGTGAATGGAATATATAAGCAGTGTGAATATAATAACATATTAGAATAAATTTCACATACATATAAATTTATCTGTATTATAATACCTTACAAGGCTTATCATTATGCATAACTTATGTGGAACAAGTAAAAAGTACTATTTTTAAGTTTTTCTCAAATAGTACTCTAACCCAAATTCAGTCAACAATCTTATAACATATACATTATCTGTGCAACCAAATCTTTATACGAATTTTTTTGAATTTTATTTACAAACGTTCATAGAAAAAATAATAATCAAACTTTAGATCTATTCCAAAGCTAGTACAAAAATTTATTTATACTAACAAAGACACATATATTTCCAGTTTTATAGTTTCTTTAATAAAAACTAAAGGCTCTATTAGGTGTTCAAACAAAATATAATACATAGTGATCTTTCTCTATGCTGTAATGCTGAAGATGTCGAGATCTCCAATGCACATTCTGCATGTCTAGAGGTACTCTATGACAAACATAATGCAATGTCAAGTATAAAGATTGGCATAAAGTGCATATAAGGTTTTTTTCTTTGTTGCCCTTCTCTTTATACTACCATTTAGAGACAGGCAAAATCCATTTATAAAGGGCAGTATAGTTAAGATATTATTATTTATTGCTTTTTAGTGATTCTTTTTTATTTTTTTTCCACTTTTGATTAATATTTTTTTTTAAAAAAACAAAGATAAATTTTGAAGTTGAAGAATTTATTTGTATTAGAGGGGAGTCTGTCGCTCTTGCTATAGTAATCGTAAAATCATCCTATATAAAGGAATTAATATTTGATATGGATCTTGTTGAAATGCTAAAGAGCATTGATGCTAAAATTATCTATAAAGGGTGAGTTTCTCATTGAGTTATTTGTCAAGTTGTTGTGTATTCGAAGTTATGCTATTACATCAGTGTAAATATCTAGAAGAAATTGAAAGCACTTTGTGGCTACTGTTTTAGCAATGAACATTCTTTCGTTCTAGTTTTCAGTATTCTCAAGATGCTTAGATATTGGGAATTCATAATGAATAGGATACACTCTAACATAGTGTAATATGGTTGCTTAACCTAACTAGATTCTAAATATTTGTTTAATAAATATGTCGTCACTAGTTAAATCAAGCAA